ACTTGCACCACATTTGGTAGCTATATCTTGCAGCCACCTCGGTCGTGCTCAGGAGCGCTCACGCGTATCCAGCATGTGTATAAGTTTATAGTTGCCATATATTGGTAGACTCGGGTCGGAGAGCGTTCAACAGTGTCCGAATTTCCGGAGTGAGTGGATAAAAGTGGGGAAAACGCTAACCCTCATCCTTCGGGGTAATGGCTATAACCGGGTTAACAGTGTCTAATAGCGTATAATATAAAAGCAATACGCTTCACCATGTTGGGTGACACTGCTGATGATGAAAGCGCATGGATCACGTTGGTGATATGATGAGAATAAACATCTTGGCGGTCCCCCTTCCTTCATTCTTACACGATTCCTGTAGCTGAAAATACTGTCCTGTCGTGTTAGCCGTTGCGTAGTATGATTTACCGGGTGTCATTACTTGATGCTTATAGCGGAGTGGGTAAGCGAAAACAGGCTACTGCTGATATTCTTCTTTCTCTTTCATGCACTATTTCTTGCCCCTCCACTCGTTCGTTAAGACTAATGACTCCATTTTTATCTCCACCAGCGCTAACTGTCTCAGGTATAACAAAGTGACCTTTAGGCATCTAAGCTCGGTCCACCCGGCTGTTTTTATTGTTCGTGGTCTGAAGCAAGCAGAACAATAAGCTTTTCCCTCTATTACAGTAGACTCGCTTGGTGTGTGCTGTGTATCAGGGACCGGAATTCGATACTCAATGCCAGTCATCGAGCATACTGCCATATCACTCTCCATTCGCTATCGCCTACGCACATGTGGTGATCTGCAGGCCCGCGGCAGAATGTGCGGTGGTATAGATCACCTCAAGTCACTGGGCAGAAAATTTCTTGCTTGTTTGGATACCCGTCAGTGTTATCCTCTGTGTGGTCCGTCTGAGAATGTCCATGATGAAGTCTCACAAACCATCGGAGACAAATTTTGTGACCCCTGAACACTGTTGTGGCGAGCTAAAACCTGAGATATAGCTGTGTTTGCGACAGATTTGAATGCACAAGCGCGGAGAATTAGCGCATCTGAGGCTCAGTTGTACCTGATGCATACAGACACCAACGAACGACTGCTCCAGCTGCATTTATCGAAGACTTTATGATGTGATAACTTCCGAATAATCAAAGCCATCTGGCCACATGATATCCTCCAACAGCGTGTCAACCGCTAGGCCAAATTAACCACACCGTCATCAGTTACCGATGGTGCGAATGAGCAGCTGACTGGAGCTCGTTTTAGAACATTGTCGATTCTGACCGTGCACTCACTCTTCGCTTTCCAGGGTCGTGTATAGGGCGGACCCTGGTCACTGGTACATTTTTCAGTACGATTGAATTACTGAAAAGGCCAAAAAGTTTGGCGCTTTTCAGAGGGTGTCTGCTATGTTTATCAGCCAGACGTTTGTGCCTTACTACCTGTAACCTTGGACCAGTTGTATCAGACTATTGACTCACTGGCTCCGGCCCAGAGTTTCAGTCAGGGGATAGGGCAGGGTTTCCAAACAGAATTTTGAATCCTCCTACTGCCATGTGGATCGTGACTTTAGTCGGAGTCTCAAGATGGAGTGCGTCAGCCGAACTCATTTCTTGGTTCAGGACAACTAGTTAGTATCCTCTTTGTGGCTCTTCGTTCACCGTCCCTCACTCATGGCTCCTTTCCACGGTGATCAA